TATAAACTCAGAGTAGCCTGTTTGGGCTTAGCAGTCTTTGTGGGTGGTGAGTAATACAAATGCATGGTGGATGGAGAATGCCCAGCAGGCTTGGGACCAGAGAACCCAAGTGCAACATAAACCAAATTAGCTCTGGGGTCTCAGGGGTCTCTCTTAAATGTCACTAGCCACACTCATATTACAAAATTGGCCCTGGAGACAGAAAAGAAAATTCATGAGGAGAACTGGATTCACAGGAAGAACAGTCTGAGAATGGGGGCACTGAGGACCCTATACATACACACACCCAAAAAAGGGGAATCCCTTCACACAAGCTCTCAGGAAAGTGAGCCATCAGTGGGAGGCCTCCAGGGAGCAGCCCTAAAGGAAGGCCCATCTTGGAAGATACTAGAAGCAAGTCAGGCGACATTCAGGAGGAGAGGGCTTATCCAGGCCTTGCAGGGAACCTGCCATGTAAAGCATATACTCATATTATACGCTCAGCACTGTGAAAACAAAAACAAACAACTCTGAATTTGAGACAGTGAAAGAAAATCTCAACTAGGAAGGCAAATGAGGAACCAATGAACCAGCCCATACTAACTTAACCTACCTGAATCCTACATGGCATGTATGCCCAATCTGTAAAGGCGATATTTTGTTTTACATCAGGTAAATTTCACATGTTTGTTTTTAATCTGGATATGCTGTTGTTCAATGCCCTCTTTAACATATAATAGGTGTAGATCATTAAATTTCTGGAAAAACTGTATCCAAAACAGTGAGCTTAAATCACGGTTGAGAAGAGCCACTGACGGCCACAGCAGCAATGGTGGCCCCATTAACACATTTAAACAAGACTGCAGCACAAGATACAGTAGGCCAAGAGAAACTAGAATGAGTCCTGATTTCTATGAGGCATGTAGGTAACACAATAAAGAATCAGGAAAGATGACATACACGGACAAATTGTTGAGAAATTTTTGCAACTGGGGACAAATAGGGTCTCACTATGTAGTTCAGGCTGCCCTTGAACTCACAGTGATCCTCCTGCTTCAGGTTCCTGTATGCTGGGGATTATGCACATGTGCCCAGCTAACTAGGGAAGACTGTACAAAACAGTTTCTTTTACCTGGGTTTGGTGGTGTATGCTGATAATCCTAGCACTGAGAGGCTGAGGCAAGAGAAACATGAGTTCAAGCCCAACCTGGGAAACTACCAAGTTAGCAAGACTGTGTCTCAAAATAAAAAATCTAAAAAGGGCTGGACATGTTGCTCAGTGTGAAGGTCTTGGCTTCAATCCCCAGTATCAGGTGGGGAAAAAAAGTAGTTTTTTTTTTTCACCTCTCCAATCAAGTACAGAGAGAAAAAGAGAAGTTAATAAAACAGAAGCCAGAACAGATAGACTGGTCTGTTCCTCTGATGAAACTTGGCTAAGGCCAAACTAGGAGAAGGGCTTATGACTTCACAAAAAGATTCAAAATGAGATAACACAGGAAAGTTACCTTCTAAGAAGAGGGATAACAAATTACACCGAACTCCCTTACTAAATGGCAACTACATACAATTCAACCAAATATATGCCAGAGATGCAAAGAAGGCAGTCCCCTGCTTTCATCAAGGAGCTCTGATCTAGAGAGGGAGGGAAAGCAGAGAAGGATACTCATGTGCTTCCTGCCAAGTTAGAGGCAAGTACGAGGAGTAATCGGAGACAGGAAGGCAGACTACAGGGTTCAAGAGAGATTCCCTAGCAGAGATTCCTGTGATCTCATGGCACCTTCCTCATGCTTACCATGTGAGCATGGGAGAGCCAGGCAGAGAAAGCAGGGAAGAGACAGAGGCTACAGAAAAAGAACTTATACAATAACCCCACGATCAACCTTTGTTTGGAAATCTGGACAAATGTCACTATGCACTAGCTGGAGGCTATGACCGCCAGTGCCAACCAACCTCCAGATCCAACCATGCCTGGCCCTTTGGCAGCCAAAATGTCACCTTCGTTAAAGTCTATTCACGCAATTTGGCTTTAATGCTTCATTTCTGCTTAACTCTCCCTTCTTCCCTGAATATCTGGAACACAGTCACCCTTCCCCACCAGTATCCTCCCATTAACTTGACCGGCATCATCGTTTATATAAATAAGCCACTCTGCAACTTCCACAAGTCCCCTCCCACCTCACTAAGCTTCACTTCCACCTTTCTCCACTTGGGCCCCTCATCAGCTAGAAATGTCCTACGTTACGACACGCTAAGCTCCAACATCCTACTGTGACCAACACGACTACCCTACCTGCAATCCTGAATTCTATTCCTCCTCTGTCACTGCTGTGACTCCTAACCCTTGACCCATTTACTCTCTCCCCAATCCTAAATCTCCCATCTTGTATAGACCCTGGACTCTGAACTGTGACCTAATCAAATCACCTCTCCAGGCAAGGTCCTACAAAAATGGTTTCACCTTCTGTTCTCTTCCTTTGCCTTCTCACAGTATGTGGCAAAGTCATATCCCCAGTTAACCCATCCATTCACTTCCTCTGCTTCTGTACCTGGACTGCTCACACTGCTGGGAGAAAAAAAAAATCACACAGCCTTGGACATGAGACCACCAAGAATTAATTCATGGTCTCTCTCACCAGCTGCCTGAATGTCCTTTGATGAGCCCCAAACACCTCTGCTCTCCACAACTCTTTTCCTATGTAATGATGTCCTTAAGGCCTGTGCTTTCTTAGGACATGATCTCACTTCCATTTCAGAAAGAAAACCAAGGCAATCATGTAGTAACTTCTTCAAATTTATACCTATACACTACTTACAAATATGCTGGAATTCACTTTCTTGCTTCCAATATTTTCCTGAAAGGAGGGTCGGGTCCTTCCTCTTGCTAAGATCTAATCCTACCACTTAGGTCTACTTTTCAGGGATTCCTCACAGTTGTCACCTCTGTTCAGATTATTAATTTCTCTTCTGTCCCTTCTGCATGTGAATATGTTCATATATCTTCCATCCAACAAAACGAACACCTCTCTTGACGTTGTCAGATACATATCCAGGCTATGCTTCCATGCCATAGCCCCTTCTTTAAAAAGCAGCGGGCTGGTTTATTCTAGATGGCACAATCTGTGCCACAGACATCACCAAAAACCACTTCTAATATACAGGCCTAGCTGCTTGGACCATGGATTAGTGCTGCAGCTGGAAGACAACAGATGGGTAGAAGCAGTTTGGTGCCCAAGCCATCCGGTAGGTGCTAAGAATTTTAAAGTGATGTAACCAACAGGTGAAGCTCCCATGTGCCTGGATCACTACTGAGACCTAGGTGTTCTTCTCCACAAAGCTCCTGTACATCTCAACCAAAACATTTGAGACAGATGGCTCAATGACAAACTCAAAATGTATCCCAGGAGTTAAAACTCACCCACTCATCCTTTGGCACCCATCACGGTGTTCATTATTTCAGGGAAAAAAAAAAAATCAATGGATGCTTTTTTAAAAAAAAAAAGTTTAAGGAGTAAAGCTATACTTACATAGCCTCAGATTACTTCCCTCCTAAGATATTTATTCTGGGGAGGGATCTGGTAGACCCCACCCTAATCAGGTGATCACAGTAAGTATCACCAGTAATGAAACACATGGGTAGAACAGGCCTTCTGCTATGACACACTGAGAGGAACACAGCAATGTGGAGGATCACCTGGACTACTCTCCTTGAAAAAAGAGCAGTTATCTCCATTTTGGCTAAACCTGGCCCTATTTCCATATATTGATATGTACATAGCTGGCTAGGACTTCTCCTCAACCCTTCAACTGGCTTTAAGCAACGCAAATTGGTCCAGCTGAGGTGCTGATGGGTAATCTTTGAAGCAAGGTGACAGGGCTGTGTTATCCCGCCTGCCCATAGCTCCCAAAAACCATGTGTGAGCTGGGCGGGATGGACAGCCATGCTCCATGCTGTCAGCTGGCATAAAGCCTTGTGTAAGAGCGTATGACTTCCCAGTGCATAAAAAATTACACATCAGAGCTGAAGCACTGACCCCAAAACGTTAGATATTACCCCGAATTGTGTTATGTAGATTACTCTTTCCGCATACCCTTCTGGTTGCATATTGCAGAGGTTATTTCAAACCTTCTACCTAGCCCAGCTCACAGCACTCAAGTTCTTTCTGCCATTCTCAGTCACTCATCTTTGAGCCACTCCCTTCTTCATGAGTTAATAAAACCCGGGTTCAGCACTGGGTCGAGGCTCTTGTTCCAGTTAGCCACCACCCTAGCTGGATTTAGGACCACCTTGCCTCCCCACAACCATAAATATGCCTTAGTATCCTTATTCTCGCCATGGGTTGCACTGGAAGTGGTAGACTGGAATTAACTTGCTAGAATTCCAATAACTTTTCCATGTGATTACAAATAAAAACTTCTTGGACCACAACAAGGACTGAGAAGGGCTCTCTGTACAGCAACACCTTTGTGGAACCCTGACAAAGTGTGCAAGTTGAACCTATTGTCAGAAAACATCAGAGCTTCCAAAAGGAAAATTCTACTAAATAACTGGTCTATACTGTTCAAAAAATGCCTGTATCCCAATGCACAGATACCAAGGAATTGCCTCAGATTGAAGACTAAAGAAACATGACAACTAAATGTATGATCTTGGAATGGACACTACGTGGTTTTTTTTGTTTGTTTGTTTGTTTTGTTTTTGCTGTTGTCTTATTTCAAGGTGCCATAACAAAATATAAGTTAGGATTCCTACTCCACAAATCTAAAATCCAAGCTGGGTTTGGTGGTGTGCACCTGTATTCTCAGTTCAGGAGGCTGAAGCAGGAGAATCACTTGAGCCCAGGACTTTAAGGTCAGCCTGAACAATATAGAAAGAACCTGTCTCAATCAATAAATAAAATGTTAATGGGTCTGGACTGTAAGTCAGTGGGAGAACATATGTAAAGCCCTTGGTTCAATCTCCACTACTACAAAACTAATCAGTTCAAAGTTAATGCTTCAAAACCTGAAACCTTTTGAGTATCATGTCAGTGCTCAATAAGGTAAGTATGTGCAAATACTAAAACAAACAAAATAATCCAACATCTAAACCATTTGTGGTCCCCAAGAATTGTGAATAAAGGATATTCACTTGAACCTTAGACTGAGTACTTTATAAACAATAACATAGAGGCTGGGAAATATAAGGTCAGGGTGCCAGCAGATTCAACATAGCACCTGCTATGTATTCACACGGCAGAAAGGTGAACAAGCTCCCTCAAGTTTGCTTAATAAGGGCACTGAGCCCATTCATGAGTACTTTGCCTGCCCTCAAAACCTAATTACCTGCTAAAGGCTGCACTTCTGAATACCAACGTATTAGTGCAACATAATAATTTTAGAAGGGAAACAGACTTTCAGACTACAGCAGCCATAAAGAAAATTAGTAGGTAACTTGGCAAATTTGAATAAGGTCTGTGAATTAGATAATAGTATAGTAACAGTATCAATATTATGATTTTGATAAAGAAATACCTTTGCCTTTAGGAAATATACATTAAAGTAGCACCAGGTAGATAACTTAGTTTCAAATGGTTTAGAAACTAATAGTAATATGGAAACAAATAATAAAAGCACACCTTAAAGTGTTAACATTTCAGTAATCTGAGTGAAGAGTATGCAGGAATTCTTTGTACTGTATTTTTCTGCCAATTTTCTATAAAACCAACATTTCAAAATTTTGAAAGTTTCCCTTTTTGTTTGTTGCTTTGTTTCAACCCGAGAGCCGCAAGAAGTACAAGGAGAAACTGGCCAAAACCACACCTGTGGTAAAGGGCTTCAAAGTGTTGCTCTTCTCCTTGTCAGAGAGGGTACATACAAAATAAACTGGGCACAGGATTGAGATTAGCAAACTGATCTGACTGATAGTAGGATTTGGTGCCTGAGAGAGAATACGTTATTTGTAACATAATATTTGGTGCCTGAGAGAGAATACGTTATTTGCAACATAATAGTGACTATGGCTACATGAATAAAGAGGCAATAATAAGCCTCCTTCTCGACTCCTTCCCAGATTTCCTGGTGAGTTCTGTATGCAGACCACCACACCTGCAGACCGCCATTGGGAGGACCTGGCAGGGAATCCCAGCCACAGGAAAGCCCAAGAAAATAAGCTCCCTTCAGCTCCTCCAAAGATACAAGAGCCTTTTGAAAAGAAAAGTTTTCCAAACATGTACAACAATAAAAAATAAGTGTTAGTACCCACCACCCATTCATTTCCTAATTTTGATACATCTGAGTGCTTGCCCTCTCTCCTTCCTTCTCTTCCCTGTTTTCCCTCCCTCCCTCTTTTTAAAGTCCCTGACATTTTTTACCCCTGCATACTCTGTCTGGGTGTTGGACACTCTTCTACCCAGCCACAATTCCATCATTATACATAACAAAATTAAAAATAATCTTTCATATTATCTCTGACCCATACAAATTTCCCTGACACATGGCTTGTAATTCTTGAGTTCTCCTCACAGAAAGCTTTCATGCAGCATGGCAGATGGATGCTACACGTGCTGCCTCGGCAGAAACGGAAGCCGTGAAGCAGCCAGGCTTCACCACCTTCACTCCCAAGCCAGGTAACTATGCTGCTGAGTCTGGAAAACAGAACACCTTACATGGTGCAAAACACTAGAATCTATTTACAAAACAGTGAAAAATATTTTCATTATAGGGTCAAAGAATAAATGTCCCTAATATAAAGGGTACTTATACCTCAAAATAAAAATGATCAAAGAGCATAAGAAACTGGCAGACATTAAAAATGTACAAAAAGTACATTAAAAATATTCTAGAGCCGGGGGTGCAGCTCTGTGGTACAGCACTTGCCCAAAATGAGTGAGGTCCTGGTTCAATCCCCAAAACCACAAGAAAAAAAGAAACAAGACAAAAAAATAAAATTTAAACCAGGTGCAGTGGTATACACCTGTCATCCCAGCACATGAGAGGCTGAAGTAAGAACTTTGAGTTCAAGCCTGTGTGAGCTACATAGCAAGTTCAAGGCCAGTGTGGACTACACAATGAGACCCCTTTATTACCACAAAATAAAAATAAAAACCAACACCTACATATGGAGAGGGAGGGAGGGAAGGAGAGAAAGAGAGAGGGAGAGGGAGGGAGAATATATTCAAATAATGACTTGTCGTTCATAAATAAAGTTTTGTTTAATCCAATGATGATAAAAATATGCCTCTATAAGTGGGTACAAGCTTTCTAGAGAATAATTTGTCAATATGTTCCAAAAGCCTTATTTTGTCTCAAGGACTCATTCTAAAGAAACCATAAGATATTACATAATCATATAAATAAGGCTTTCACAGCAGTATTACTTATTTCTAATCTCCCCAACATAGGATGCTGTGGAGGCTAAACATCTAAATGTCCAAAAGCAGAGGAAGATAGTATTTTAATATAAGCTAAAATTGCATTTCTAACTTTGTCAAGGAAACTCCAACTTTTCCCCATTAATATTTTCTAGACTTTTACATTAAATACAAGGAAGAATGGAAAAAAAATGATGTGGAGAAAATATTTGCTTTGTTTATTTTCAAACTATAAGTAGGATATATTCAAGGATGATAGGAATGTTCTGTGATAAGGAGATAACATCATAACGATATCACTTCTCCCTGTACTAATTTACAAATTTAGGGCCAGGGATATAGCTCAGTAGCACAGCACTTGCCCAGCAAACGTGAGGTCATGAGTTCGATTCCTGGTACCAAAAAAAAAAAATTATAAATTTAATATAATCCCAAAATGCCTTTTGAGTTTTGTTTTTGGCACTAGAGAAGCTGTTTATAAATTTTATCTAAAAAAAATAAAAATAACTAAGAGACCATGGACAGGAGAAAAAATGAGGGAGGACTAACCCTAACAATTTATTGAGACAGTGTAGTCACAGCACACAACCAGACATACAGACTGATGGAAAAGAACAGAAAATCCAGAAGTGGATCCAATTGTGCACAGAAATTATCATAAAGGTAATATATCAAGTCAGTGGGATAAAATGGACTTATTAATAAATGGTGCTGGGATTAATTATACAGCCATATGGGGAAAAGGATAAAATTGGATTTTTCATGTAATACACCAAAATAAATCCCAGATGGGTCAGAGATTTACACATAAGAAATAAAACCATCACGTACAAATACAAATATTTTGTAACAGGAGGAAAATGTTCACACTGCAGAAGCAAGACAGAAAAACATTGTTAAATTACATAAAAATTTTTATTTTACATGACAAGTCACACTATGCAAAGTAAAAAGGGAAATGAAAAACTGAAAAAAATATTTGCAATACGGAAAGGGAAGCAAAAAATAGAAGAAAAAGAAATAGACTAATGGATATGAACAGATAACTCACAGGAAAAATAACCCAAGTGTCCCTTAAACATGTAAAAAGATGTTCATTCAACCTCAATCATTACATGAGAAATATAAGCAAAATGTCAGCTAAAACTAGTGAGACACTACAAAATACTACTCCATGGCAAAGCAGTAGAGAATAGGCTTTCTGATGTACCGCTGGTAAAAATTCAAAATGGTTCAAGGCTTACTGAGGAGAATTCAGCACAATTTAGCAAAATTAAACATGAGAGAAAAGAGTTATGTTTAAGAGCATTTAATAAAAAATCTGGAACAACCCAAATGTTTAACCGATGTGAACTGCTTGACTACGATGAAGATACACAGATCAGTCTGGGGAAATAATCCCGTGCTTCCAAAAAGAAATGGGGGGAGGGGGAAATAAGGAAATGAGCTGATTCTAATTACAACATGCATGAGCCTTGGAAACATTATAGTAAGCCAAAGAAGCCAGGCACAGATGCCAGATATTATATGATTCCAGCTAAATGAAATGTCCACTGGCAAATCCAAGGAGACTGTGAGTGCACTAGTGGTACCAGGCCCTGGGGCTGCGGGTAGGAGGCAGAAGGCAAGGGAAAGGGACTGCTAACAGGTACAGGGCTTCTCTGATAAAAAAAAAAAAAAAAAAAAAAAAAAATCCCAGAATTCATGGTAAATGCTGCATAACTCTGAGAACATGCTAAAAACCACTGAATTATATATAAGAATGAGTCTATGAAGTATCTCAATTTTTTTTTCAAAGAATGAAGAATTCCTACACATCCAACATCCAACTGTGGGGTGATCTCAAGAACATACTATTAACGTGATGTTTCAGTTACTTTTCTCTTGTTGCTGAGACAAAATACCGGACACCCAAAGTTACAGGGGAAAAGGTTTATTTAGCTCACAGTTTGTGGAGGTTTCAGTCCATAATCAGCTGGCTCCAAGGTAGGTTGGCGTGGCAGAAGGGCAACAGTTCATGGTGGCAAAACACAACAAAAGCAAACAAGGGCAAAAGGGGAGGGCAAGCCTCTTCCCTTATATTGTGTGTAGGCTACCCACATTAGGGCGCGTGAGCATCCACATTCCCAACCTCAGCACTAGACACTCACAAACACTAGCTTCAGCTGCCTCCAAAAAGGGCCCCCATCACCGCAGGAGGCTTTGGGGGCACATCTGGCCACAAACCATAACAGGTGAAAACAGCAAAGGTAAAAGGACTGTTTATAGTACGCTACCATTCATCTAAAAGGGACAGAAATATACACACATCAATACAGACAGTAAATGCAAAACAACAGAACCATATCAGGTATGTTAAAATCCTTGAGTTCATAACAATACTTGAAAAATAAACCCTATGAAGGATGCTAGAGAACCAAGGATCATTATTTTGAAAACAGCTAAATGAAGGGTAAGAAAAAAGAATTTATCCCATTTATTCAAACTTTATCACATAATTAATGAGAGTAATCAGGTTTTTTAAATTAAGTTTATTGGAACATTTTAGATATACATAATGATCACATCAGCCATACAGAGTTTGTACCTGTACATGATGTATCTTGATCCTTCTTTTTTTCCCATTCCCCTCTCCTCCAACTCTTCCACTCTTTATTTACAAAAGCTTGGTTTCCATTTTTCCTTCTTTTTTCTTTTTTTCTCTTCCTTCCTTCTGTCCTCCCCCCTGCCTAGTTCCCCTTCTCATTTGAACATTTTCCTCCTACTTCACAATATCTATTATACATTTTGGTCCTTATTTACACTTTTGGTTTCTCACACCAGAGAAACAATGCTGTATGTAAACATGTGTGTTCAATTTATTTCACTTAAGAGGCTGGTGTCAAGGTGCAACTACTTACCTAGAAATATCTCAAGTTTATCCTCTTTAAAGCTGAGTAGTATTCTACTGTATAAAAAACCTACATCTTCTTTATCCATTTATCAGCTGATGGGGCATCTGGGCTGTTTCCAAGATTTCACTATTACAAACTGTGCTGCTATAAACATGAATATGCCAAACACTGTGGAAATCAGTGTGGAAATTCCTCAAAAAACTAGGATTAGAGGTCCCATTCAACTCACCTATTCCTCTTCTGGGTACTTTTCCAGAAGAACTGAAAACATACCACAGTGATATATGTGCACCCATGTTTATAGCAGCGCAATTTATAATAGCTATTATGAGTAATAATAGCTATGGAGTATTACTCAACTATAAAGAAAGATAAACTCAAGGTTTTTATAGGTAAATGGATGTAACTAGAGGCCATACTGATAAGTGAAATAAATCAGACCTGCATGTGTAAACATCATATTGTCTCCCTAATGAAAGAACCTTTCAGGTTACTCTTTCAGAGTAAATAAAATCTGAAAGGTACAATAGATATTGTGAAAGGGAAAGAAACTGCTTAAAAGGAAAGAACTGGGATGAGGAAAA